TACCTACACAGTAGGTTCTATAGATACCTACCGGAAAACAACTACTTTCCTGGCTTATAGCACGCCGGCTATTGAAATTTATCCGACAGACATTCATGCAAGATACCTTACGTTCATTCACCAGCATAGCCATGCTGAAATTATTGGAGTGAATCATCTACAGACCGGTTTCCAAAGTATTACCTCACATCAGTGCAGAAAATATCCAACCTGAACAGCAAAGTGCCTGGGACTCGAATAATTTCGATGCGGCTCAGCTGCATGTATGAAACCTTTGTCTGAATAAAATATTGCTCCATTCCGTGAACGAAGCCCCAAGCGGAGAAGAAACCCCCCATGTACTAATAATCTAACAGAGATCAAAACGTGTCTGAACCTGTTGTCAAACGGACTATATTAGCTCGCGAAAAAGGTCCTATTTCGAAGTCTTTTGTTTGGTCTTATAGATAATAATTCTAAATGAGAAACCGATTAATATTAGAGATGATCACTAACATAGAGAAAATACATAACAAATTGGAGGTATTAAAAACAGGTAGTTTAGCATAGGATCAATAACAGGTAGTAGTTATATACTAGCCGGTCTAATTAGGTAATACTGAGGACGCTGACTTGGTTAGCGAAACGCGCGTTGAGAGACTGGTGTTCGAAAAGTATTTTCAATTGATTGACTATACGCCAGAAGGTCCAGTACAAGCTATCACTTAAATTCATCAGGAAGCTGTCGTCAACAAAAACCATATTTTATCAAATTGACGTTGACACTATTACAAATGATTAGACGATATTATTTATTGGTACCTCACACAATTAAATTTTACTTAAAATTGAGAAATGCATGGAAACATTCAAAATATGTGCCATTTGCGGTTAATTTGTCATTGGTAATTGTGTGTTGAAATATTATTGAATTATCAGCTTCAGTATTGTGGGTAATATTTCATCATGAATAGCGAACGTTCTCAGTTTCATTTGACAGGATTTAATGTGTGAAAGTAGATCCTAATCAATCTTCGAATGATTAGAAGTGAACTTGTTATAAATTCGAATGATTTAGTCTACCCAGCACTTATCTGGAGGTCATTGAGTAGTAATTGTGAACTCAGAATTAAATTATTAAGCAATTTTTTATTCGAATAGAGATGTATACAGTGTAGTACATTTATCGAAACACTTTGTTGAATTTAACTGTTTCTTTCGATGAAAGTCGTAGATTTTCTTTATTGCTAACAAATTCTGGAAATGAACCGAAACAAATGGTTTTTATGATAAGGCTTTGAAACACAGTTTTTTGAGAAACTATTTCTTGATGTTTTTGAATTTCGATATATTTTGCAATTCAATTTAGATCAACACATAATCATCATACAGTTCAGAAACGACAACCTTCAGAAGTCGAACTTGTGTGAGCTGAGGAATAACGAGATCTTATTTCTTAACGTGTGACTCCTAGCACAGGTTGTGCGATACGCAGTGGAAATCGATAGTTGGTCCGTCCGGCACGAATCACCGTCGATTAATCAAGTAGAATGAACCTCTCCGGTTAACCAACAGGCTACTGCCCTATTAAAAATAAATTGTTTCTAATAGGACAGTTTTGCCTATGAAATGAGTCAAAAGGAAAAATGGATTTGAATAGTTAGTTTTCCACAAGTGGCTGATGTTTTCTGGAAAGCGTTTTGGGTTATGAATCTGCTGAAGCACAATTACGAACAATCAAAAAAATTATCTAACAGACACGGTGAGGCTGTATTGAATAGTGAGTTATATCTGATTGACAACAGAACATTTTCCTTAAAAATCTTTTTGTGCAACTGTCATTGAAATTCCTCAGTATGTTGCTCCGGTAAGAGAGTTTTTAGATGACCGGTTTTCTGGACGGTGGACACTTGAAAAATAATATTTTGCTACGCAGCCCGATTCCACAGAAGATCTTCGCCAACGAATTACAGCAGAGTGCAGAAGTATAACACCTGATATGCTATAGAATGTTAGGAATAGATTTGATCAAAATCTGTATCATTGTATGGAAGCAACTGGGTCAAATTTTCAGCACTTGCTGAAGTAGGATTTTACTAAATCAATTACACATTTCAAAGTACTGGGTTGTAGTTGTTTTTCTTCATAATACCTACATGTTTGAGTAAAATACAACAAATTAGGTATCATTGGAAAGACAGTTTTGTGCCCTTTCATATGATATATCACTCGACCCCACTTTCCATTTAAACTTTTAGGGTTGTTACTCACTCTCGCTAGGGGGTTGAAGGCACAGGTAGAAAAATACATCTAAAATGTGTCCCCCTCAAAAGCAAAATTGACCTGTCCGAGCATTTTTGCGTTAAGTTACAAAAAAAGAAGAAAAGCAAGGTGCATACTTCTCGTTGGACCACTGGATATATGAAATAACGTTTTATTGCGATTCGTTCTGTTTAAATACAAGAAAAGTTATCAGGAATTAAGAAGGAGAATGAAAAAAAAGTTTGAAATTTTGTAGATGAAAACTGAATCAGTAATTATTCTGAATATTATACTGCCTCCGAATAAATTATTGCTTTTTATAAGATATGTATATTCAATGGACTTGAAGTAACGTCGTTTTGGACCACTGCTAACTTACATCTCCGAAGATTTGTTAACTCCAGTTTATTATATTACATAAAGAAAGAATTTTGATTCTATTGTTTTCAATCCATCAGAAAAATACAGATGTTGTATACGTATTTTCAACAGCAAGAAGAAAATAACTTGTACGAGACATATTCAAAATTGAGGAATTATATGTGACATCCAATAACGAACGTCATCGAGATGACGATCATATATGGATAATTTATGGATCATTTTCATGATCATTAGGAACAGAATTGCTCAGAACTATTTTGATCTAACTTCAGACATCACACAAAAACCATCAATTGACCAATATTTAACAAATACAATGTATACTTGGTAAACTGAATTTTTTCCAGGTCTCCATCAAAATCACAATTCCTTCACGTCGAAATTGTGTATTGATAGCTAATTTCCGGACATTCAAATGAACAAAGACATACGTGTGCTGTTGGTAGCAGAACGAGATATGGTTTGTATGGTATTTTCCTATCATTTTTTGCTGCAATACAAATAAATATAGTTTGAAAAACTGAAAAACACGCTTTCAAAGCTGATACGCTTAAAACAATAACGAACGGAAAATACTAGTATTATTTTGAAAAAAGCGAAGGGCGCTTGATGTACAAAAAATATGGCACAAAGCGCCCACGCTTTTTTCAAAATAATATTAGTATTTTTCGTTAGTTATTGTTTTAAGCTTATTTAAAATGAATTATTTTTAACTTTTTTTTAATTAATAATTATTTAAAAGGGACATTATGGATCTCTGAGGAACATGAGTTTTGGTGGTGATATGACCAACTATAACATGAAATTTCAATTAATAAATACACATCCTGCTGCGGCTGCTCAATGCTATTCAATTGGATTGCTATAAAGGAGGATGATACGTGTGAGAAGATCACTTGGTGATTTCTGCTTGCGAAAATAATTATGATCACTTGATATATCCAAATATTCTTTGATGTATCGATAGAAAGTATACGTTGAACTATAGTGGCTTTCCAAAAAACAAAGGAAAACCTCTTTGTAAAACAATCCGAAGTTTGAATGGAACTGTACGATGATGAATAAAAATTCATCTAGAGTTTAGTGTGAAGATTTCAATAAAATAGGTTCTACAAAAACCTCGACATGTGTTTCGGTATACAATAGATTCCTCAAGCAGAGAAAATACTCGGAGATTATCTTGTTGTGAATTGTTTCTATCAACTTTCGGAATGTACGTGGCAGTTGAGGAAAATGTGAAGTGTCTTATATTGTATACCACTGTATCCTCCAAGGACCAATGAAGCTATGCCTATGCCATGAGTTGAAAAAGTCGGGAATTAATGATCTTCAATTCACTGAGTCCTTAAAAAAACAGGCATATAATTTTTGATTCACTGGGTATCCTTTCGAATGACTATTACATAGTGATTTCATAAGCTTTTCGGAGAGTACTATACGTATGACTCCCTCCAATTGGATCTCTCATGAGATGTTGGGAATTTTCGAATTTATCAATTTCCGTAATTTCCAAAGAGGTAAAGTTTCAAACTTTTCTTCTGGAAATTAAGGTTTTTGAACTCATGATTGACCTCATGTCTCTCTAAGAAATAGTGATTAGCTTGTGTTGAGTTCATTTATCCATTCTGGAAACAGTTTCTAGGTTCTTTCATGCGAGTCTTAAGTCTTCTTTCAGTTTGATCAATGTAAAACATCGAACATGACATACGACAATTTGAAAACTTTTGTTTATCTGACACAAAAATCTCTTTGTTATTTTCAATTTGCTATCAGTCGAAGAGCAAGGACAATAACTTTTTTGAGCAGAATGGCCAAAAAAATTATTGATATTGATTGATTTCAGTACCTAATCTTCTGATAATATACTGTCTAAAAGTAATATCTGACATTCTGAATTGTACAGTGGAGAACGTGGGTGATGACTTATATGGAGAAGGGAATGTGGAATGGGATGCAATTTTTTTGTAACTGAATTTGCTTTTTCTATAGCTGTCTTTGTTATTGAACCATCCGCTTCTCTTGAAAGTGACATTGCGGATTTGTTGAAAATTTGACATTGAACAAAAAGGTCCAGATTATATTATTTACGAATGAAATTTTTGTTCTAAATAATTTACAAGTTCCAAATTTTTCAATGGAAAAATTTGCCTTTCAGAATTATTCATAATACCTCAGGTAAGCAACTCACTGAAATCATCAGGTTTTCTTCATTTCAATTAATTGAATACTTGGAAAGTAAAATTTGGTATCCCTCACCGGAAATGAGTAATGAACAATTAAATTTCATAATTAATGCTTTCATCTGAGAGTCCATTGTCTCGAGTTTTTACATTCATGATAAAATGAAACGATATTGGTTGAAAATTATTATGTACTCAGGTTGAAACAAATGATCATCTTGATTGACTTTTCCTGTGATTCTGTTACTTCCTGTACTATATCCGATATATCGGAGACAATGAGCTGAATGGAGAAGGGATCTTGAAAGGCGTGTATGGAGAAAGGAGATCACTAGATTCCTCGTATATATACGAGAGGATCCCCCTTAGATGAATACTCTCTCTGATATTGCGTACCGACATTTCAACAAACATCATGAAATCCTTCTGTGTGAGTAATACCTTTACATGTATCGTGTGCGGATTTTTCAAAATTGCCAGTTTTGTGACTAGTTTTGGTTTTGTGAAGTGATTTGTGTTTTGATGATGAATGTACCTGACGTTTAGTAATTATTTTCGAGTCCTGCAGTAAAGGAAAATTGAATTCATTGAAATCAAAATATTGTAATTTGTTACAGTTTGATTGTGGTGACAACTTAATTTCAGTTTTTTTTGTAAGAACGCACAAAAAACCTTCATATAGAAATTCTTTGAAATTTTTTGAGACTTATATATTCGAAGTATGTCAAGCTGTTGAAAAGATATATCCGAAAAAATTGTTTTCGATTTTGGAACAGTATTTTCTCAATGATACATTTTAATACGAATGCAAATACTAGCATACTAGTACGAATGCGAACCCTTGTATGGTAAATTTCAACAAAATATACTTATTTATGAATATTTATAAGTACTTAATGAATCTGCATCAAGTGAGTAACATTCATTCAAGATTAAGTTATGTTGTGAGCAACATACGATTTCGAAAAATTTGTAATTTTCTACATTAGCCACATTTGCATTGTTTTCAAATTATGGTAAAAAATAGTGTGAACTTTCAAAGCGATTTTTTGAAAAATGTTGATTTCAATTTTTCAGAGTTTGAAAAATTGACTCAAAAATTATTTTGATGATTCGAAAGGAGTATGTGGAAATTGCAAAAATTGTGTATTTTTGGTATTTGTCTGGAAATAGTGAATTCGTGAAGAAATTGTTTGTCAAACTGGACACATTTTGCTATAGAAACTACTCGTAGATTAATCTAACTTTCTCATTCATTATGGCATATTGAATATATTTATGTATACATATTCCATACATAATTCATTTATCTCAACAACATGAGATCTCAGTTTGTAATTTTGTCAAGTTGACATCAAATCAAAAAAGTGTCTATACGTTCAGTTCATCAAATCATTAGTATGTGAGAAATTAACTAATAAAAAAGTGAAAATTGTACCTTTCATGGCTAAGGGCAGAATTATTGAAGGCCAGTTCTTAATGAATGAAACTAGAAAAATAGATTTTCAAAATACAAGGAACTTCTCCCAGTTCATCTTCCAAAATCACTTGTTTATTGAAACAAAGTTTTTTCCACGTATAATTCAATGCCTCCCCTATACCAGAACTGCAATTCTTTCTTTCCATCTCCTGAAGAGGCCAATTTGGTTGGTAAAACAAGGGTCGAGAAGAGTAATGCAGTTCTAGTGCTTGGAGAAAGTGCTTGTTCCTACGCCATAGGTTTCAGTTCCACCTCTCATTTTATTCCCTGTTTCACATGTTCGAGTGCAAACTATTCATATGAAACTACGCAAAAGTATAACTATAATACAAAATCTCACTAGGAAAAACTTAAGAGATGAAACAGGGTTTAAGAAATTTATGGATTTCTTTTATAAAACCAATGATTTTTTGAAGAATGAAATGGTTAGGACTTGAAATAATCTCAAGATTTTCCAGATCTGAAACTAGTTTTCATATTGAAATTTTCGTCTACTGTCAATTTGTTGCGGATTCGGAAAAAATCATAGTGAATGAAATGAGCAAATTGAAATTTTTTCTCATTCAAAATAGATGAAATTATGTGATTTTATTGTTAATTGATAGTTTTCATTAGTTAATATCAACAATTGATTGAACAAAAATGACAAGTCGTATCGACAAATTATGTAAAACTCTTTTTAATGATCATGTCTGTATCTATATCAACTACATAATTTTTACTGAGTTATATAGATGAGATATTTTGAAATTTTTGTGTTACCATTGAGTTATTTTTATTGGGGGATACTGATTTTCAATTCTAGTGCTCCTGTAGTACGAGATTATAACCTGTTTTTCTAAATATTGATGAAGTACTATAGAAACTAATTGAAATGTTTCGAATGATATAGCGTTTCTAACACATTAGTGAAAAATAAAACAAAATTTGAACCGAAACTAGTCCCGAAATTATTTGGATAATTTTTGAAAATCTTTACTAAAAATAATAATCGTTGCAATTTCAGTTTACCATTCTTACGCTGGTCGCTCTGGCGCAAGCTGAAGATGGAAAAGCGAAGGAGAAACGTGGTCTAGCCGACTCGTACGGATCGTTCTCCAACGGCCCTTCGTTCACGAAATCACCCCAATCATCCCCAACGCAACAGGAGTACGTGTCGCAAGCCCAGCAATATTATCAAGAGAATTCTCAAGCTCCCCAATCCCAAGCTGCTGCCTACACTCAACCAGCTGTGTCTAAATATTCTGTTCCCGGCTTACAGAAGGTGAGTGCGACATTTTAAATTGTAATCGCGGCCCATGTTGAGTGGGAAGTGGAAAATTTCTTGGAAGAGGACAAATCGAATTCATTTTCTTCTGGATTTTTGCACGACTCATTCGAGCTGAAATTATATCATGAATCGATATGTCTGAAATGCAGAAAATAATATAATGATAATTGTGTGTTTCAGATACGAATTGGGAGAAAAAACCCACCCGACACAATTACTTTCAAACACATGTACTCAGAGTGTAAACTGAATGAAAACAATTGATTTTTATGTAACTCAATGCACACATGTTTGAAAGTAGTTGTTTCGGATGGGCTTTTTCCAGTTTGTTTCTGAAAAGCCTTTTGTTGAGAGCTTCTATTTCTTCGGAGTTCTCACCAATTTGTGTATAAAAAACTCAGCCTCCAAGGTTTATTTAAGAGTTGAAGAACTACTTCGCGATGTTACAGGAATAACACTTGGCGTCGACGACTATCTCCTCTGTAGACCCCAAATTAAATTCTTTGGTTACTTCATAAAGGGTCTCACAAGTAGCGAGGAAGAGAAGGTTCATCACGAATAAAAGCTTATTCATCAACCTATTTATTGATGAAAAATCTTTGTTAATGAGAACACAAAACGTAAAATTGAAATATCTATCATTTGTATGTAGGTTACATTATTGATTTACATTTCATTGTCTGGGTATGAGATTTTCATAAGATAATGCCAGATTCAGTAAATATTTCTGCTAGTATCTTCGAAATCTCATTTTTGAAGATATACTGTACTCTGAATATCTTTCATCAACTGTCGTACTCTTCTATCTACCGAGATGCATCTACTTTGTCGTACTGGCTAATGTCTCTATCAGAAAGGTTGCCAATATTCGATGCAAAGAGTGACCTGTATACTCCACTGGATCGCTCAAATTCAAATATTTTGCATCAAATTTTTTAACGTGTTTTTTAAAAACTGACTCAACAGTGAAACACACTTTCTCATGAATAAAAAAAATTGTGAGCAACCACGTGACAGTAAGAATATGTGGTTCGTCACCAGTTTCATACTGTACAATTCTGCTTCGTTGAAAATGGTTAAAACAGACTTTTTACCTGAACTTTTTGTTGGGACTCTTACAAAAACTGAGTTTCTGTCTTATAATTCCTTCCCAACTCCATGTTAGGAATCACACGTTGAAAGGTAAGACCTCGTTAATCCTTAGCTAACACAAGTTTCGACTTCTGAGGGTCATCGTTCGTAGGGGTGCGACAGCTGGTTAACGGAAAAACATATTTTTTTAAAAAACAGAATTAACATCTGGAGTGACTGCAGCGACACAGTCAGTTGAAATATCAACATGAATAACTTCTTCGAACCAATAAAATGATGAAGAAATTGGAGGTTAGGCTACTAAAACAGACTTTTACAGCGATTGAACGCTTCTTTCGAATAGTGATAAAACTAAAAGCAATAAAACTAACAGCCATCATACGTGACTTTCACAATTTCAAAAACTGCCACTGTTCGAATCAAATTGAACCAATGAAATCGAATATTGAAGTATGATTGTGACTAAATTTTGAATTTTTGCTTCTGCAAAGCATTTATATGATTCCACAGAAATTCACAGGTTCAATTTGATACTATGATTGAGATAGTAACTATGTGAATCAAATAAAACTCATCAATATAATGTTTTCCATGCAATCTCTCTCTTGATATTCCGATAATTTTATTTACATATTCATATTATGAATGCATATGATATGCTTATGATATATTTACCACCAAATTGGCTCAATAGTATGTGTGCATTGTCTCTTCATTTCAATGTTACCTGAAATTGAATAAGTTTTTGAAATTATCGCTCACATTTTTGTTCATTCATCTGTTTCAACTTTTACTCAATATATTTTGTTATCGGACAGATTGATTTCACTGAAATCTCACTTGGTTGTACACATACAATGCCTTTTTATATGGAATTACTTTTTCTCTAGAAATTCAAAAACAAAAGCTAAACACACAAATAATTGAAAAATACACTCACATCAAATCCAAGTGGAGCAAGTGGACTTATTTTATTTTTGTAAAAAAAATCACAAAATTCATATTTGTTTTCATTGTTGACGAAAAATTATGCAGTTTCAATGATTCCAAAACGAATTTAATATTATGAAAACAACAACTTCAACTGACAAGTGACAGTCATCTCAGAACATAGTAATAAATATGTTGAAGTATTTCGCTTCAACGAAAACTTATCAGAGAGAGTCTGAGGTCTGCTGATGACCCTAGAGAGCGTTTAGCAATACCTTTGTAGCTGTAGGTCTACTTTGAAACTACGAAAAGAAGTATAATAACCCTGGAGGTTGATGCGACTTCAAATAAAGTAAATAAAAAAAAGAAAAGAAGTATAGGTGTACCCGTATATCTGAACACACGCCTCAGAAAAACCCGACAAACTAGATGTCACTGAATATGCTCTCAAAGAAGGCACCCACATTATCTCATTCGAATATACACAAATACTCGATTAAACTCAAAATTACTATCCAAAAATATACAGAGCAGCAATAGAAATCCAGAAACACAGGGATAATCTCAATAGAAAGAGAGAGGCAATGAACATCAGTGAAATCTGGCTACCTATCCTCAATTGTCCACATATTGGGTCATTCCATTGTATCAAGAAACGAAGTCATGATCATCAATGATGATATAAAACGGGAAACAAATTCCAACGTTGTAGTTTCAGTGTTGGAGAACAACTTAGACCGTTACCTCACCGACTTTGATAATGTCAACCGCAGTGGTAGACGAAACGTCAGGCATCAATACCTGCAGACCACGGCTAAAAACCGGATAATAGCTTTGACGTAGTTATCTCCAGCCGTGAAAGTTTACAGTCTTCAATACCTCTACTGATAAAACAAAAATACATTGATAATAATAGATCTGTGTTGCATTTCTATTGCAATAGATAATATGATATCAAACTCTGCAAGAATTGGATTACAGTTCATAAAAGAAAGTGAATGGTTTTCATCGAAACACAAGACGCTCTTGTTAGTAACCAATTATTTCTAATGAAATGTATAACTTAGGAGAAATTTTGTAATTAATGGTAAAAGAACAACAAAAATATATTTCCCATGAATTTTTATGACGATATAATGGAATCCGTGAAAGTCAACATGAAATTTGAATTTTAATGATGAGTTCGAATCTTTGATTATTTCGAATTCCTCATTTATAATTCATTTGCCAAATCACTGTATGAAGTTATTTCGAAATGGAAGGGTTTTTCTCTGAATTTGTTCAACATTCAGTTTTTGTCATACTCCAAATATATGGTTTGATTTTGAGATGTGAATTGCATCACTTCATTCAGTATATTTTCACTTGGAGAGAAACATCTATTTTGTATAATTTTGATACTGAAGTTTCTGGTTATTTTTCAGAAGACATTTAATGGAGCTTACTGTGTAGAAACATCGAGAAACATGTATGTTTTGAATTAAGTTTAAAAAATTCATTCATTTTTGAAAATAAATAATCAATCAAATGAAATGAATCAGTTCCAGATACCAATCTACGAAATAAAATTCTTCAGTAACTTTATGTGATTATACCATTCCAAAACTTCTTGAACATTTCGTGAAAATACAGTTTAAAGCAACTCGACCGGAAAAAAGATAAGCTGACCAATAAATATATTTTCAAACTTTTTCATTGTATCTTCAGATACCGAATTTGGATAGTTGAATGGGCGAATCTCAAGACACGATTCCTGATTTATACCACAAAGGATAATTTTCTCCCAGTGATAAACAGTTCCACTTCTTGCCTTATTTCAGACCTGAAAATGAAAATTTTCTTCGACTGTAGTCTGTGATCAGCCATATCAGGAGTTAGATTTCTGGTATAATTCTTAGAATATTCAGGAAATAAATTGTTGAGTAGCAGTACTATATTGAGACGTGAGAGCCATATTTCATGAAAACGGAAAATTTTACAAAAAAATAAGGTGTTCTGAGATAGTTGACTTATCAAACTAGCATTATGAAGATATTATGCATTAAATGCTGATTTTTCATAATTATGACTGAAATTTCAAGGCATACGATGATAATCATTTTATTTAGGTCTCTTCAATCCAGAGGTATTTCAGTTTTTGTTTGTAGAACATGAATATTACGAAAAGAGTGCGGATGAAAAAAAGTGTTTTCTGCGAATGAAGTATGCTGAAAACTGTTTCGATAAATAATTATTCACGAACAAAAATATTGATATCTGCTTCAATCGCACTATCGATAATTCTGGAAATATCGAGGACATTTTTATTCTCCATGGTAAAATGAAGATCCAGTAAGAAATTCAGCCAACTGCATCTTTACCAGTTACAGAAACCCAATACTGAGAACATGCTAGTTCATATTGCAAGTATCAGTATAAATACGCCTGAGGAAGTCATTGTAAAGTAAAACAAGTGTTGTGGTTTTGTAAACTTCTCAGTGAAAATCTTATGATAAAGTGTTACATGAATACGTTATGGATTTTGATCAAGTACCGGCCAACTCCATCACATAGGTACCAATTTTGTTGCAATGTTGAACCATGACTCACCTGAAGTTCAACACAAACGAGCCTTCTGACGATATTATGAGCATATAAACAAAAGATCTATTTTTCTTGAAAAAAATCAACTGTTTTCTTGCCCCATGAAAAAATTGTTTCCTTGCACCAAGTTAACTGACTAGTTAACTATTCTAGTAAACTGATAAACTAGTCAACTGATAAAAACATAACTTGGTTCAATGAATAGTAGCTCAGATGACAATGCAGTTCCATTCTCACTATTATTTCTTCATTATATGAACACCATTCAGCCTTTTCACAGTATGTTCATTCCAGTAATCGACATAACGCGTTTCAACTACTTCCATCAGAACTTGATGATTCTGTCTCACGCTGTTGCTTTGCTCAAGTTAACGTATCAAACGCCCTGTTAATTTCTGGAGAAAATTATGTGATTATTTCGTCACACCGAACATTCTCTTAGCGAGAATGTTTCAAATGGGAATTTAAAGACATACAATTCCATTATATATTGTGACTAAATGGTTCTGGTTCTTTATTACTGAAGAATGTTTTCAAGAGCTCTATTTCATTAAGTATGTGGATGTATGCTTTTCCAATATTTTATCAACTTCAAAAGTTGTTATTTGAACTCGTGACGGAAAAACATTCTGTCACTTATTTTTGAGATGAAAGTAATTTAATTTCTAAAAAGGAACTCTGTAATTTACATTTCGAAAACAACAGTAAAATATTATCATATATTCATTACTATCTTACTTCGCCCTAGACTTATTAGAATTTGTGTTAAGTTGTTTGCTGAGTTATATTAACTTCTTTATATTGTTTTTGTGAGGCACGAAGCCGAGCCATAGTAACAAGGCGAGCCATACTAACAAGGCGAGCCATTTTCATATAGTAAATTTGTACCAGAAAAACATTCAATAGATACATACATTCACAGATACATGCTGGGTCTTTCATTAACCAAGTTAGTAG